GACTTGAGTTGTAATGATAAATATCTCAATATTATTAGGCATCATCACTATATTATTATTAGAATGGTTCCCATAATGATCATTCGATAAAAATAACTGAATATTTATGCCACAGAGCAGACGGTAAATCAAGTACGGCGTGGAAAGCCACCAATAAATAAGTTTCCACCCAGTAGACTGGTAGTATCCTAGTTTTGAGCCCCGACTCAGTCCTCTTTTAACTTCTTTTACTTTTATTAACTTTTATATATCCTGAAGCATTTTAAAGCATTCGACAATTTTTAACCGCAGCCCAGTAGCATTGTTTCCTCTTTGATATTCCTCAGGCAAATCGTCGTTCTCATTCCCTCTTCCTCTCCCATTTTCTATTTCTACTCGACTCTCTCTCGGTACAGTAGCCGCAGTGGTACAGTAGAGCCGCCACCCTCACCCGGTCTGTATTGAGGGGTCCATAAATCTGGCGATTGCGTGCACTCGGCATTCGGCCAATAAGTGCTACGTGCAAGGTAGACTGAATCGCGTTAGAATCGTGACGGTAGTTTTCTCCTCTTTCTCTTCTTTTTTATAACCCGTCTCTCTCGCTCTTGGGTCCGCAACTCGCTGCCCGCAGTATCCTCCACATTTAACAGTAATCTCTCTCGCTTTTTACCACCGTTTTATTTTTATTTCTATTTCTACTTCTTCTATCTCTCTGCTCTCTACTCTACTTATTACGTCCAGTCGCCGTGCATACCTACTATTCTTTGGTAAGACTGCTAGAATCCAGAACCAAACCCTTCTTGACTGTCAATACAGACGTTTAATATTCGGAGCAGTACTCGCCTGGAACTCTGGCAAAACAGTTTTGGATTTGTTACTAAATTTTTAATGTAATTCATGAGACTTTTATCTTTATTTTTAGTTTATAAATTTTTTATGTGAAACTTCTTTATCGACGTATGAGAAAAATTTTGTATCAATGTAAAAAAAAATCGTCGCGATTTTTTATTACGCGCCATTTTTTTTTAAAGTTGTACTTCTTTAGGCACGTTATGAAAAAATTATGAGAGTAAATTTTTATGATGCGCGCGCAGCACTGTCACACGAAAATTTACATGTTGAAATACCATTTAATATGAAATATATTATTCATATTAATAATCAATTCTAAAAAATGGTCAACTAAATATTTTAGTTTTTATTTAACTTGATAATAATTTTTTTTAATTAATATTTTTTTCAAAAATAATAGTAATTTCATGAAATAAAATATAAATATTGTAGTACCTATACAATATTATATTTAGGTATCTTTTTATTGAGTTCATCATTTTTTAATACAGACTTAATCATTTTGTTTATCGAATATAGTAATTCTATCCATATTTTTGTAAAATTTATATTATGGACCATTTTAATAATTTTCCGGAATTTTGTTGGAAGCAAAATCTAGTTTCGTACTACAATATTTGTCTTTTAATTCATGTAATTAATATTATTTTTGAATAAATATTAATTAAAAAGATATTATCACTAGGTTAAATAATAAATAATGAACTATTTTATAAAAAACATATATTTTAAATAAATAATTAATGACACTAAAGTTAGCCGACGTTTTTGATTTTTTGATTTTATTTTTAATAATTTTGAAGTTTATTTACAAGTGGAAATTTTTTTTTCGTACTACAATATTTGTCTTTTAATTCATGTAATTAATATTATTTTTGAATAAATATTAATTAAAAAGATATTATCACTAGGTTAAATAATAAATAATGAACTATTTTATAAAAAACATATATTTTAAATAAATAATTAATGACACTAAAGTTAGCCGACGTTTTTGATTTTTTGATTTTATTTTTAATAATTTTGAAGTTTATTTACAAGTGGAAATTTTTTTTTATTTTTTTGTAATCATTTTTTCAATAAAAAAAAATTCTAAAAATTTTCATATGTCAGCTAACTTACTTTTCATAATAAATAAAATATTTTGTAATTATTGATTGTAAACTATTGATACTTTGCAGCTCCAAAATTAGTTGATTTAGTTGTAAACATTAATTTAGATTATTAATTATATTATTTAATATTAAAATTTTTATTATTTTTAATATTTATATTAAAAAATGTGTCATGTTTTTAAAAATTGAGATTTTGTATGAGAAATTTTTGCTGAGAAAACTTCATCAATTTAAAAAAATATATAAATAAACTGTAATTAGAGCAGTACACCATGAAGATCGCAGAAAATGGACCTTTTAAATATGACGTCAGTATACGACAGAATGTGAATTAAAAATGAAGTTAATCCTAAAAAAATGTAATTTACTTTAATTGCTAAAAATTCTTCTCAAGAACAGTAATATTTCTCACTGACTTCAAATTAAAATTCTTTAAGCTTATAATTTATTTTTTAAATTAAAAATCGCTTATAAATAAATTTCACAAAGCACTTCTCTCAATTCAAAGTATTTAAAAAAAATAAAATCATAATATACCTATATTTAATTTTTTTACCTTTTCATAGGCAATATGAACTTATTAAAAATTACTTGAATAACCAATATTATTATCATTATTACAAAAAACGTCGACAAATCTTCAAATAATTGTGGAGCAATAAAAATATTACAATTTGAAAGCTTTGGATATGAATCGCGGTATTTTATTTCCATCTATATTCATAAAACTGCAGAACATATAGTGATACAATATTTGTATTGAAGTGCCGTCGTTTTTCCTCTCAAGCATCAGCGGGCCTGCAATAGTTAAAAAAAAAATAACAACCAGAGAGTAAAAAAATAAAGTGAAATAAAATAACGTAATAATAATAAAAACGGCAATAAAATACATAAAAGACGTATGTTGTCGTGGAAGTGTACGAATTGGAAAATATTCAAAGGAGGAAAATTTAGTTTTCATCCCCATAAATTCGTTTCGAAGGTTTTCTTTGAGTGTTCTTCTCTCATGTGTTGTAAATATGTGTACGTACATATATATACACATATGCAAATAAAGTAAACCGTGAATAAATAAATTGGAGTGCTCCCTTTTCCCGATTAGACGCAGGTCTGTATTTTCATTCGGTTACTCAACGCTTTTCATCACTTGGCTGTAAAATTTGGATTAAACTTACTTATTCTCCAGTCAGAGATAGAATAGAAGAAGATGCTGCAACAGCAGTAAGCAGGAGCCAGGAGCGTCTTATTTTTCCACCGCGGATAAATTAAAGGAAAATTAAGATCCAGTGTAACCCGCCGCCGAGCCAAATGGGTACCCGGTATGGAAAGCAAGACGGAAAGCGCATTTTCAGAATCCTTAGAGTTGACCTAAGCAGAAAATAACAAATTTAAACTCTGCTTTATTCGCTGTAAGATTATAAAATTCACCAACTCTATGGCCCTAGATTTTCCCAACCTCTACTTCTTCAGCTCTTTCGATCCGAATGGTTTATTCACAGAAAGTCTAATCGCTGTGCTATGCTTACTTGCATTCCGTTCAATCGGACAAGTTGATGTACTTTATTATTTTTTCTTGGGATTTTTTTGGAGTTACTCAGAGAGAATAATTATTTTTCAGACAAGAATTTTTCGGCTCAAGAATTATTTTTAATTTATTTTTTGACAAAAAAAAAAAAAAAAAAAAAAAAAAAAAAAAAAAAAAACAATTTTTCTCGGTATCGATTAAACAATTGGTGACTTGTTTGTCATAGTGATAGTATAAATGGGATAAAATCTGGTTACAAGAAGTACGTCCCTTTAAAACAACCCGGATGTTAAAAGACGGAAATTGTATTTGAAATTTACATTTTAATAGCACTACTCGCGTTCTCGCTTATGTCCTCAAGCGTACACGTTCTGTGTTGCTCTATCGAATTTCGCCGTCAATGTTTTTATTTTTTTAGTTTTATTTCACTCTCACCCACCCTGAAAATAAAGGTCCGCTTATTTATTTAGCATTAATTTCAATGAATATTTAACCGGGTAAAAGCAAATAGAGTAAATTGAAATAAATTTATTACTTTAAAAATTATATTATATAAAAGATGAACTGAAACAAAAGGAACGAATATTATAAATAAGTATTTTAATTAGTTCTTTATTTAAGAAAGAACTGAAAAAATAAGAAAAAATTTAAAATGAATTATAAAAAAAGTAAGAAAAGAAAACCAGAAAACATTTCCGTCTTGTCTGTCCACTTCTTCCAGACTCGTTAAACTCAAGGAAATGTTTTAAGTGCCAGAGGAAGCAATAAAAAATAAAATAGAGAGAAGACGAATAAGAACCAGAGCCACTAGAGAAAATAAAATAAAAAGTATCTGTACTGGGAAAACGACACAACTTGGGAGTCTTACTATGGGGGTAATTAACGAGTGAGAAAATCCTCAAACACTTTCAACATACGTTTAACAACTTGAGAACCTTTTTTAACTCAACAACAATTTAAACATTCATTAGTGTTAGTACTCTCTCAGTCTTAATATTTATTTTTTCATTTTTTTATTTATTTATTTACAAATATTTATTAATTAACAAGGAAAGAATTTGTAAAGTTAAAATTTAAATTGTGAGACGGAAATTCAATGTATTAAATGTAAAAAAATTAAATTTAACATTTTCAATTTATTAAAAAAATTTTATAACTTAAAAAATTAAACAAATAAATAAAAAATAATAATAATTAATTAAAAAATGACCATTTTATTAGTAAATTTTCACATTTTCTTAAAAACTTGATTTTTTTGTTTGGAAAAACCATTTTACAATTTTCTTTAAAAAAACCTTTTTTGTAATTGTAAAAGATTTTTTATAAAAATAAAAAATTGTCTCGAGAAAGATAAAATTACAGTTTATAAATTCTTTGATGGGATTTTAAATATTTCCCAGAGAACCCTTATGATTTTTTTTCGAGTCTCAAGGTGAACCCTCGGGTGATTTCATAAGCTAAGGATTTCAAGGTAATACTCATAGAATCTCAGACCAACAAACTATTCGTTGGCTTGTTGTCTGAAAAACATGAAAAGAGCAGCAAAAGTAGTAAGTAGTAGTGGTGCGGTAATAGTCAGACAGTCTTTTGTCTGACGTCTGACCACAGCTCAAGTATTATCCCTCGTGTCTTTCACTGTCATTCTTACCGACTCAACGTCAGACATCCCATACAAAACTACTTCACTTTTCACTTATACACGGGCTTTAGGGATCTAATGAAAAATTCTCAGTGAAGTATATATACTAAGATAAAAATGAATACAACTTTTTAAATTTATTATATTTAAGGTGAATTGTGTAAAAGCATTTTTTAAATTTATTTTTGTGAAAGAAGTTTTTTGTAAAACAGTTAAAAAAAAAAAATATCAAAAATTTTTCTTCTAAGATCTAGCTAGACTTTTATTAAAATTAAAAGCTATTAATTAACCTTTTTATTAAAATAAAATTGTGGCTTCTCGTCAATATTCAAAAGCAAATACACTGATAGAAGGATTTGTTTATAGTTAAAAATATTTTTTAATATTTAACAAATCATTTATTAGAAGCCATTTTTTAGTCCTTAACAAATATTTCTTAGTATTTACTAATATTTAATAAATTAATATCAGATTTATTAAAAACAAACAAATCATTTTTACTACTAAGAAATATTTGTTTATTAGTAAAAGTCGTCTCTAATAAATAATTTTTTAACTATCAGCGGAGTCAAAAAAAAAATTAAAAAATCCTGAAAAGTGCTTCTTAAGATAATTAAATAAAAAAAAAATATTATTTGTTTCAGATATCCTGGATGAGAATGAAAGACATCCACATTCTGACGTCCTCGTTAGTGACGTACACAGGGGACGGAAGATTTTCAGTAAAGCACCCAGAGGGAAGCGACGAGTGGCGACTAATAATCGACTATGTCCAGCCTAGGGACGCTGGGCTCTACGAGTGCCAAGTCAACACTGAGCCCAAACTTAAGATGGCCTTTGCGTTGAGGGTCGAAGGTAAATATGTCTCTTTATTTTATTCCGATAAATCACGCCTTGAATAAAAAAAAATAAAAAAAAATAATTAACTTAGTAACCGAAAACAATTTACAACACTCAAAGCAAATGATCGTATATTTGGAGTGAGGTTGAATAAATAATTATAAGTTCAGTGAAACAGAGAGCTGGTGATTGACTTAATGACCGTCTTGTCAGGACAATCTGGTACAATTGAGAATCGAGTGTTGCATCGGTAGATTGAGGATGTTACACCTTGACTAACACACTGATTAATTCAGTTGCGAAGTAAAGCCTCAGCTTGACTTTCTCCCGTCTCTATCTCTATCTCTGATACTGAGGTGCATCTCTCAGTCCGTGATTGTTCCCGCAATTGTTCCCTCTGTGAAGCCGAGGTTTGAACTCTCCCGAGCAGCGGCATCCCTTGTATTGATGCCTTGAGTAGATCCGAGAAACTCTCTCTACTCGGTTTTCTCGAGCAGCGAACAACTTATCTGGTTCTCGAAAGCGAGAGACCCAGAGACTATCAATATTTGCCAGTGAAATCTACCGCACTTTGTACTTGCCAAGTAATCTCTATTACAAGTCAAAAACAACTAAACCATCGATTTAATTAATTACACGCTATCATTTTATTGCCTTTTATGCTTTTACTTAAGATTATTGTCTTACTCGGAAATAATGTTACACTTTACTTTAAAAAATTAAATTTTTTGACTTTACTTAATTTAATGAATTAAATTTTTAAAATATATATCTTTTCTCTGTTTTTCTGTCTCCTACCTCCTACCACATTAAGAGACTTCGCTCCCTGATGTCAAGTCAAACGCGGTGCGACGGAAATTTGAATCAGGTTAGATCTTTTTTTAAAAAAAAATTTTATTGTTTTTTTTTTGTCACTATTGATCAAAGGGAGGTGAAAAAAATCGATAATTCTGAAGAAAGAAAATTTTTTTTTTAAGAATTTTTTTCAAAAAAATAAAAAAAAAATTGGCAATTTGGTTTCACGGCCACCTGAATTTTTTTAGATAAAAAATTGACATTTTTAACGGGAATATGCATGAAAATTTGTGAAAATAAATTTTATAATCAGTTTTAAAGCTTTTAGTATTAATAAAAATTTTATTTTAAAGAACAAACAATTAAAAAAAAATATTTAAAAATGTCAATCTTTTTTTTTTTTAATTTTTTTAACAAAAAATTGAAATTAAAAAAATTTTTTTTTTTAATTATTTTATTTTTAACTTAAAAAAAATTGGCTAATTGTTTAATAAAATTAAAGAACAAACAATTAAAAAAAATATTTTAAAATGTCAATTCATTTTTTTTAACAAAAAAATTTTTTTTTTAATTATTTTATTTTTTAACTTAAAAAAAAATATCGAATTGTTTATATAAAAAAAAGGTTTTTAATTTAATTTTTATAGACCGTGAAAACTCCAACGAATTTTTCTTTTATTAAATCATTGTTGATAATATTTTTTTGTTGAAAAAAAAAAATAGAATATCGAAATATTAAGTTAATGCGAGACAGTTTATTTCCACTTATTCAAAAAGTCGTCGAATATGTGAAGCATGAATAACGAGGACGGGAAGTCGCTGAATGAGCGATACGATTCAACGACGTGAATCAGAGCAGAGAACGTCTGATAAATCGTCCTCGGTGGTCATCCGAAAGATCGATAACTTCCGGGTACAGATTTATTTAAAATCAACTTTAAACCTTAAATTTTAAATGAAAAAAAAAAAACTCAATTTTATTGTATTTTTTTCGATAAATCTCGACTTGAGAAATCGCGAGTCACCTCGCATCCATTAGAAGCCGTATTACGACTTTACAGATGAGATGCTTAGCTTCTTTCTTAGAGTTCTTTCACTATACCTCCGACCGTCGTGTTTATGTTGAGAATGAGTGCCTGACCATTGATCCACTTGTTCTACTCAAATCGCCTGAAATAGTTTTGTTTGTATTTTTTTTTCTGTCTGGAAAATTTACAGAAATATTTTCATGAATTTATTTTTATGTTTCAGCGGCCCAGGCGACTATACTTGGGGCCGAAGACGTCTACGTAAAAAAAGGCAGCACAATTAGTCTTACGTGCAAAGTTAACGTCCAAAGTACCCCGCCAAGCAGCGTTACGTGGCATCATGGTAGCGCTGTCGTTGATTTTGACAGTCCAAGGTATTATTTCTTTCTTACTTCAATAATTATGCTCACTTTTTATGGTGCTAAAATTACTAAAAAATAAAATGATTAAATTATTATTTAAAAAATAATAGTTGTAAATTTATTTTTTACAAAAATCACGAAGATTGTCAGATCTCCTGATTTCCATATTATCACATTTAAATATTTACATTGCATTTAAAAAAATGTGCTTCATTTACTTTGAAAGTTTTCTTGCAGAAATTTGTTGACAAAAAAACGAAGTTAAACTTTGAAAGTAAAATAAGAAAGAGTTCTTGAAAAAATTTTACTTTTAACTATTTTATTTTTTGCATGCTCGGAAAATAAAATCTATTTGATTAAAGAAATGAGTTTTGTTTTGAATTTTCATTTTACTTTGAATTATTCGGTTCTAATTAATTCGGAAAATTTACTCGAGAATAAAAAAAAATAAAATTAAGGGAAAAAAAATTTTCCATTTAGAAATTTTAACAATTTACTATTTTCTAACGAAATTACCAAATTTTTACTTTAATTTTTTAGTTTTTTAAATAAATACATTTTTTTTAGGTCGAGAATATTTTTTTCTTGTATCAAATAATTTTTTTTAACATGTCAATATTTCTATTATTATTTTTAATATTCAGAATATTAATTTAGAGTACAATTTATTTAAGAAATTTCTACTTTTTTTTATTTAATTAAAAAATTTATAAATAAAATTAAATTATAAAATTTAGGTACTTTATTTTAATAAAAATAAAAAAATTATGAGTGTGATTGTGAATCCGTGAGAATGCATAAACTTTAAAATTCGTCAATAAGTAAAATAATTTTCAATAAAGTTAATAATTTCTATTTTGGTCTGAAATAAAAATAAAAGTAAGAATGAGTAAAAAAAAACGAAGGTAGACACGAAGGTATGTTTGATAACCAGCGTTCACCATAGGGGCGGCGTCTCCCTGGAAACGGAGAAGACGGAGAGCGGCACGACGAGCAAACTGCTGGTGACGCAGGCGAGATCAAGCGACAGCGGAAATTACACCTGCATCCCCAGCAACGCAAACCCTGCGAGCGTAATGGTCCACGTTCTAAACGGTAAGTGGTTCTTTATGCTACCCGTAACCCACCTGTCACTCTCAGCGCCGGACATTAGTCCCTACAGTATGGACAGTCGCTGTTCCACTTCAGCCCTCACACCACTCGCTTCCTTTTTTCTCTTTCCTAATTTATTCCCCAGGACAAACATGACCTGACTAACGGATGCTATCCTTGTCACTTTATATTTTCTTCAGATTTACTTAACATTTCAAATTAATTTATAAAGAAAAAAAAATCAACTCAAGGAAATTTTCTTGCTTTAAAAATCAAATTTTTTTGCTTAAAGAAATTTTTATTAAAATGCAAACAAATTTTTTTTGTATCAAGAAAATTTTATCTTTTGCTTCAATAAATTTTTGCCTTACAATTAAAGCGCAGACTTTATTGCAAGAAAATTTAATATCTTGCTCTAAAAAATTTTTTATCAAAGTGCAAGTGAATTTTTTTTATTTAAATAATTATTAATTAATTTAAATACTAAAGCTTGATATGACCATATCAAAATTTTTTTTTTCATGACAGTAAAAAATTTTGCGTCAAAAATTTTTATGTTAAATATTTAACACTTTTTTGTGTTAATTTAACACAATAAATGTTAAATTTACATAAAAAAAAGTGTTAAATATTTAACACAAAAATTTTTAACCCAAAATTTTTTGACGAAATGACGCAAAATTTTTTACTGTGTGTGGATAAGTATTTCAAATGGATCTACTTAAAAAATCCTCCCCTCTCTCCATGAATCCCGTCGATTTTTCTCCGAAAAAACCTAGAAAAGCTTTTTAAAATAATGACCCGTAACTTTTAAAAATATTCAGATCATTGGTCGCATTGAAAAATGTAGTATTAAATTTCTACCGGTGAGTAAACACGATTGACTTAGCATTTGTCATCTGTTAGCTCGGGAAAATACATTTGAGCCGAACAATTGAAATAAATTTTGCTGGCGTGCTATTTTGAAATAATAATAGTAAATACCACTGAATAACGCTTTATGTAATCCAACAATAGTTTCAGATTTCAACAAATGAAATTTCGAGTCACCTGCACACAGATACATTGACAAATAGAGACTAGAACAGAGGGAAGTGTGAAAATAGTAATCCAGAATGAATCAATGAACGAATGAATGAAAATTAACGTCATATATACACAGCACACGGCTGCATAATAAATTAATGTTGATTGTATTGTGTAAGTCCAAGAGCTCACTCTGCACAGGATAGTAAAGTATCGTACTGTGTTTGCTAGAAAGAGAAGGGGGAGTGTCACCACATTGCCCGGTCATCGACGATATTTGAAAGATGGCTGATTACACTGGAGAATTCACCACAAATTTCAATTATTTAGTGATAAACCTATCCTACATATCTCACCCTATCCCTCCCCCGCTGAAAGTACGTGCGATTCACCGGGGAAGTCGTGGTCAACCGGGTATCCGGTCACGGCGTTCACGATCTGCCTCCATTAGCACTATCGCCCTCTATTTAGCCTCCTATATTACAGCTTATTTTATTTTCGGATATTTTATTTATAGTTCGAGTTATCCATGCACTGGCTATACGCTAATTAATTGCCTCGGGACGATCCTCTTTTATGTTTCTATAGGCTAGTAAATATTCATTTTTTTAATTACTCGTGGTACTCGCGCACTGATAATAATTATTATGGTGTTTTGCAGTAGATGTATTTTTTATTTATTTAACGCTGGCTATAAATTTTGATTTTTATCATCAAATAGAGGGATAAAAAATTTTCTCTATTCACATTGTTGTCAATTAATTTTTTAGGTATCTGGAATGATTATTTTAATTATAGAAAATTATTAATAATTTACGAAAGAATTTTTTAAAGCCAATTAATCATTTTTTTTTTTTAATAAGTTTAATAAACTTCGGGTTAAAGAAAGAGAAAAAAAAATTAATGAGCAATATTATTACTCGGAAAAATTAAAATTATAAAGTCGTAAAGTTATTAGCATACAATCCTCAGAGGGAAACTGAGAAAGTGAATAAATTAAATAATTTTTTATCTAAAGGCGAATTTTACATATATTAAATTAAAACTTCAGCATGTATGTTAATGCAACGGATGAAAGAATCTTGAACTTAAGGAAAAATTAATTTTTTTATTATTAAAAGATGTAAATTGAAAAAGAATTTTGTAATAAAAATAAAAATATCGATTTATTTTAATATTAATCATCATTTAAGGATATTTTACTTAAATAATTATTACATTAGAAATTTTTTTAGAATTTTATAACAACGAGCATTTTTTTTATTGTAATTAATTTGTTATATAACTTTACGATAACAAAATAATAAAATGATTGTTACGCATTTTAATCATTTAACAAAAAATAAACATGACTGAGCCCCGAGTCTGAGAAAAAGGAACCATTAAAGAGCATCGGCAAAAACGTTGTAATTTTTTATAAATTGAAAATTACATTAGCAAACTCGCACGATCGGTAAACTAACGAGATGCTAAATTATCCATGACGTTTTCCTTTTAGCAATAGATCAAAAGCTTTCTCCTGATGCTTCGAGTCCTACACCCACTAACGCCACCACCAACGCCGATGCTTTTACATCACATATATATATATATATACTTTCTATTCCATTTCCCATACATATATTGCATAAAAGCTAGTAGAGTCTAGTTAACGAGCTCCAGGTGTGCGTCAATCTCGAGATTGTCAAAGTTCTTAACGAGGTGTCACGTTACTTGATCAACTGCCACATCATTTTACAATTTCTGGCTCCGATATTTTATTTTGTTCAATTTTTTCTGGTTATTTATTGAAGCGATTCTTAAATACGAAAACTCTATTAGATAATTTTTAATTTTAATTACAAAATTATAAAACTAATTATTTTAACAGTGGAAAATTTTACGATCTTAAATGATTAATAATTTTTAAATAATTTTTCATAAAAGAATTAAATAATTTAATACATTTTTATTTTGTGAAATTTGTAAAATATCAATTTTTTTATAAATTTCTGAGTTCAAATGTCTAAAAGTAATAAAAGTACTTTAAAAAAAAAAAAAAAAAAATTTCTATTAAAAGCACAATAAATTCTTCCAGCCTTTAAACAACGCACCAATGAGCTGTAAAAACTATCGCGATAATTTTATCGGGTAATAAGCCGTTAAATATTTACACAAAATAAATTTAAACCCCAATAAAAATAAAATGCAGATAAATTATCTTTCTAAACTTGGAAAAGTTTTATTAACTTAAAATATTTTACAAGGCAATTAAAAAATGAATCATTTTGTTGCAGGTGAACACCCAGCAGCAATGCAACACGGCGGAAGTTGTCGATTAACCCCAACTATTTTAATGGCCTTGCTCACAATTTTTACGGCGAACTTACTCAGATGAGCTAATATCCTGGACATCTATAGGCCTAATTATAAATAAATACATTAATTAGGTAATTAATTGAATAATAATTATAATAAAAATAATAATAATATTATTGATAAGAAAAACCCGCGATAATCTATTAAAGCAAACTATAAATATTAAAATAAAATCAAACACGAGTGAATTTATACAACATTAACAATATTACAGCCTTCGGGTGTTTAGTTTATTCATTGTTGTGAGTGCAATATGTGCACGTGTACATTATAAATCGAGAACACTCAAGACCGGTGTTTGTTCATCCCGTTTATTCGGTTTATTATTTACCGTCAAGACAAGATATAACATTAAACTGAATTAAACAAAACTCAAAGCGTAATTGTAATTAAATTTCGTTTTAATAAATAAATTATTCTATTGTTGTTCGAGTGGATCTGATATTTGATGTTGAATGCTGGACGATTTAATACTTAAGTCTTATTGTAAATTTGGTAAGTTATCAGTAGACCTAATTAATTATTGTTTGTCAAAGTTATTGAATTAATGGTGTGTAAAGTACATATTACGTGTATGTATTCAAACTTTTAAATATAGAAATATTTATAGTACGGTAATAATAAAAATTGTGTTATTTTTACATTTTATTTATTATTAATTTCAAAAGTTTAAAATTATTATTTTTATTATTTATCGCTTTGATGTAATAAATTTTATTGAGCCAATTTTATTGTGCAAATAGGTGTTCTTATAAATTTTTCTGAGTAAAATTTCTTTTTTAATTAATTTCCTAAATTTAATAATTTTAATACTTTTTTTTTAAAAAAAAAAAAATTTTTTGAAAAATCACACTTTAAGTTTTCTTAATTTTTAACAAGTAGATATTTAACATTATTTTTTTTTAAATTAATTCTTACATTATATTTTTTTTTAATTAATTTTTACATTATATTACAACTTGAAAAATTATAAGAATACTTTTTTGTAGATAATTTAATTATCTATAAAAAAAAATTCATGAGAAATTATTTCCATTAATTAATTAAGAATATCTGTTTGACAGCGCAAGTTAAAATTTTGAAATTTCTTATGTAAAAAAATAAATAAATTTGATTATAATAACAATAATAATAATAATAATAATTATTAAAATCATTATAAATGAGAGTATATAAATAAAGTAGCTGTGAGATAATAAATACTGTGAAAAAGTTTATATCTATTCGATAACATATTATTTTTATTTACCGATTTTGCTTCTGATAAAAACGAACAATCAAATAAACTATAAATAAATTTATAAAAGTACCATGGCATTAACTACTATTAAAAATCAAAATTCACAAAATTAAGTGTATTATTGTGTATAGGGGGCATTCCATGCCAAATCGACCACTTTTGACACCGACCCTTTTCGATTTTTCTGAAATTTTGGTATCTTTCTCTACCCTATTGAAAACAATTTTCAGAATTTTTTCAAATTTTTTTACCCAACCAAAAAAAAGTTACGAGTTATTACAAAAAAACAGCTTTTTTTGTTAAATAACCATAACTTTTTGAAAATTGACTTTTTGGGATGTTTTTTTTTTGAAATTTTTGTCTTTAAATGTACTTTAAAAAAAAATAAAAATAATAATTCGGATTCATATTCAATGTTTTTTTTAACTTTTTGAAAAAAAACGAAAATTTCGGGATGATTGACACTTTTGATTTTCGATTTTTCTTTTTTATAAAAAACTTCAGTATTTTTTGCAAATTCCCTAAAATTTTCAAAGTGGTAAACTTTTTCTTTCTATTTTTCTTCTATCTATCTATTTCTTTCTATCTTCCAAAAAGTTAAAAAAAACATTGAATATGAATC